CAAGTAGCGAGGAATACTAGACAAATACTACACCAATTCTAAAGACTATTGAACCAGTAGACATAGGTACTAAACCAATACCAAACCAATTCTAAAAACACCGGGCCAGCTCAGAGGAATATAAACCAGTAACAGTATATACTTACTGAGAGACTGCTTGAGTAGGAACAACTGTGACCCTCAATGCACTTCTAGAGTTTCCTCACTTGACCCCGCCCCCATTTGTCTGAGGAGGGGGGGGCTGTACCATTCATTACCAAACATTACCTTGATATATGTTGGCTCAAGCCACGGGCATGGGTTGGTCATAAGCCCGAAGCCCAAGCACCCCTTGTGGCATGAATGCCGGGATTTGGAGAGGGCGCGCAGACTCAGGGCGAAGGAGGGAAGGCGAAGGGCACGGGATCGCGGAAGCTGCGGAGAAAGTTGGGGAAGATTCTGCGCATCTTGGAGAGGCTGCCAGTCGGGGAAAAGTCGGCCCGAGCGGTGTCAGGCAGCTGCCTCGTCAAGCTAGGAGGTGTCCAGTGGCCAGACGATGCGGAACTGCCCCAAGCGCAGAATGCGGGCTATTGATGGCGGGGCGCTGGTTGGAGTGCCTGGGCCCTCAAACAGGAGAAGGACGTGGACTGGCGGGTCCTCGCTCGTCCTTTTCCAGCAAAGGGCTCAAAGGACAGCCAAAGGGGCGCGTACATGACATCACCCTTGACATTGGCCCAAGAGAAAGGCCAAACACGCAGTTCACCGCAAACAGCCTCGATTCCTGAGAGGATTTGCCTCTTCATGCGTAATTTGGCCCAAAAAAAGAAGGGCCAAGTCAGGACAGCGGGAACAGCCTGCGTCGTGTCTTTTGTGGGCCCTGGCAGTGCAACCCTGCGATTTGCTGGTATCACGACAAGTGCAAGTTTGGAGGTTCGAACAAAAGCCCATGGGCAGTTCTGGCTGCAATTTTGGAAGAATTATGGAACAAATCAAAGGAATCGTGCACCACTACAGGTCTCAAGTCTCATCGTTTCACAAGATAAGACTTTTAGTCGGAGGCTTAGTTTAGGCAGAATATATATATATATATAGCCTATCCTCTAACCCTTTTAAAAGCCAACAAAACAACTTGGGCAACATAGCTCACTTCGCAAACTGGAAAAAGGCAGCGAACAGGGACCTTCATTACTGACTTCTTTCGCTCCCTGCTGAGTTTGCCCAGGAACAATGAACGGAGTGATTGAGTCCGTTCGGCGGGGAGGTCAAACTTTTTCTGGAAATCCTGACTACTGGATTCCAGCCCTGATTAATGATCCATCTCTACTCTTGGTATGGTAGCAAAAAGCTTTGTTTTTTGCAGACCCCGGTAAAAATGAACAGAACCAAAAAGACTATTTTTGTTAAAAAAAAAAAAAAAAAAAAAAAAAAACATGATCCAAGAACAGTGAAGTTATTGTTTTGTGCCCAAGGACCGGGGGAAATGCATCAGGCCCGCTTCAAGGGTGACCGTGCTCCCTCATTCATTAAAGCTGTACAAAATGGGTCGACCAATCCTCGTTCCCTTTTCCTTGACCCAAAGGACCTTGGCCCATTAAAAGGGAAACCAGGTGTTTGACCCATATCTGGGGTACACTGCAAAACTTTGCTGTCGGCTTGTGATACTAGAAGATCGATTTGGAGGATATCAAGAAAATAAGCTTGTTTCAAGTTTCAACAATGCACTGGGTGCGGGATTCTGGAAATCTGGGCGACCGAGCTCGCTGAACATGCCTCATGCCAGATTTGACAATCTAACACCGCGAAGGGTGCTAGCGCTCTGGGTTGCCCAAAGCTGGCCATACGGAAAGTTGAATGCTCACTTGCAAAGGCTAGTGTGTTGGTTGGTGGGGGGGGGGCGGCCTTGGCATTTACAAGGATTCCAAACACTGAAATGGGAGATCCCCAGTAAACTATCTGAGCTTGCCGTAACATAGGCAGCTCAAATCTGAAGCTTCTGAAACTAAATGCCTGCGTTCTTGTGCCAAACATCACGCCAAGGGAAACTCAACATTGGCCGAAAGACCAGGCTCTAAATCACCCAAGCCAGGGGAGAGTAGCTGAGGATGCCTGTCAACAAGAAGAAAGCAGCACATACCCTGTCACAAAGGCTCAGTCTTTGCTTGTTTCAGGGGCCAACTGGATCATGGTTCTAGAGGACAAGCGAAGGAACAAATAAACCAGGTCAAAAGGACAAATACGCCCTTGGCTGGGGAAAATTGAGCCAATTGTAGAGCTCAAACAGGCATGTCGAGGAAGCACCCAACAAAACTAACTCGGCTGCTTCTAATCAAATCTGAGTTCAACATTAAAACATCTTTGGGGCCTGTGACAATAGTGCGCTTCAAAACGCGCGATCGGACTGTGTCATTCGTGTGGCAAAAATATCAAACATCTGGGGCTGCGCAGGTTTCAGCCCTATGGTGCCAATTTTCGGTGCTAATTCTTGAGCCACAGCCACATAAGGCCATTCGCTTTGGTTGCAACCAAGTGGAAATGAGGTCGAACTTGCCGCGTATTGCGGTCGAGGCCTCCCAATCCGCGAATCTGCGCCGCAAGTTTGCTGGCAGCTTTGCGTTGACCCCACATACCCCGTCCCTGCCAAATCCATGGCAAGGCAGTCCTTTTCTTAAATCCTTCAACTAGGTCCTCCAGCAGAGAAGTTAGAATAAGGGTACCCTTTTCTCAAAAGTCTATTTGAGTAGGGGAACCCTCCCAGAGGGGGACCTAGGCAAAGTAGCCTTCTAAGACCGTGTCTCAGGGGGTACAGGGGGTACGGACCTGTGCATCGGCCCCTCTGCCGGCAATCTCGCGGTCGCGGGTGGCGGGTCGCCCCGCTGCGCCGGTGCTCGGGGCGGTGACTCCCTTGTGGAAATGGAGACTCCTTTAGAATGGGTTGCTTTTTTGGGGTTCCATGTTCAGCTCTAGGACATTAATGTTTGGCTTCGTCATCTCCGACGACACCTGAATAACCAACACGATACCAACCTCAAGTTGTGAAATGTTCTTGTTCGGAATCCCGAAGAACAAACCCCCCTCAAAAAAGTTTGGAGCCGCTGGTCAACCACATTTACCCTCTACAACCAGGGTTCAAATCCCGAACCAATCCAAAACCTAATACCAATTTGTACATAGATCTTCCCAAAAGCAGTGTTGTTCTGTTGCCGTGAAATTTCTGGCTTTGTCGCTCCTTTTTCTCTTGTTGGGGGTGTCCAATTTCATGCAGTTAGTCTCAGCAGAACCACCATTGATGTCAAATGATGTTGCGGGTCTTGACCAGACTTCACCTGCTTAAATAGTTAAGCTGTTTGCCGATAAAGAAAAACTAAGGAAACCCGAAACGGATCAACCGTTGACAAGGAGGTCCGGTCAGGCAACCCAGGATTCACTCAACCTCTCGTTAGGCAACTTACTTTATTGACATCAAAGGGCTTTTTAGCACCCACCAGTGGTTCATGTTATGAATCGTTCACGTCAAATGTGTCATGGGCACTCTTTTTCTGAAACTTTCTCAGCAAAACTCTGCGATCCCAATTTAATGTTCTCCAAATGGAAGATCTCCGAATCTATTCAGGATTACTCCGGCGTTTCCTGGCGCCAACGTGCCATTTGAACGTAGGGAGTCTTGCCACAGCCTTCTGCTTCAGCCCCGCTCCGAGCTCTTTGCGTGTAAAGCTTTCAGCGCTTTGCTCCCGGACAGCGGCAGCGCTCGGAAGGCCAATCCTCTTTCTGCATGATCTCAGACGACTCCGAAGGAAATGCGGTGAGAGGTCTTAGCACGAAAGTTCGGTGCAGCCGAAAATTTGAACGATCTAAAGCGAGCGCCGTGCATGAAACGGGCTTGCTGTGTTGGAAGGGGCGCCATGCGACCTCGGCCAGTCGGGTGAGTCCACGTGTCTGCCGCGAACAAAATGCAAAATCCATCCAACATCGCACCTTCCATCCGGTGCAATGGGATGAAACCTGAGTGCCCCTTCTCGTCCTTGCTTAAGGGGAAAAATCCGAGAATCAGACAATGCCACAAACCACGTTCCGGTCTGGGTCATGCAAAACCCCCGCTGCACACACACCCCTCCAATAGAAAGGCGAACCACCTCAAAACGAGGGAAACATTGGAGGCGCTTTAAGAACCGAGCCGCACGCCCGTCCCGCACCAATGGACGTAGTGAATGTTGGACCAACTTCTTGGATGTGAAAACACGCACATTAGTTCATCATGATTTTATACCTTACTCGATTGCCCGAGGGGCCCAGAATTAAACGGTTACTCTTGTGCCATGACTGGACCCAAATAGGAGTACCAGAAGGTCAAAAGGTTGACTCTGAACAAGCAGTGGGTGCATGATAAAAACCAACCCGAACCGTTCAGTGGTGCGGCATAAGCGTTCCCCAGGTCGCAAGCATCCTTTTTGAGTTGTCGTCACTGCACGAATAAGAGAGATACATGTCAATGGGTATACCAATGCAGGTATGCGGCATTGCCTCTAGGGGAGCCCTCCACACTCGATTCTTTCCACCTGGGTTCCGTTTCCCAAAAACACACACAGATACGCACGTGTGCACGAATGCAAAAAGATGTTAAAACGCTAAAACAAATGCTTTCCACTCACCGGGCCCCACCCTTGAAGTTTTCGTCGCGAGCCTTTCGTAGAAACTCCTGACCCGAACTTGGAAAGGCGAGGTGCGTGAGCGAGGGTCCCTTTATTCAGGGGCACGCTTTACTTCCATGCGTTGCTTAGAGGACGGGAATGCAACATACGTTGGCCCCCCGACTGTTGCGCAAGCTCCTGTGGAGGAATGCCACAAAGGCTGGCCGAACCTAGCGTTCCCTATCGAAGCATCATCCCGTCAGTCAGATGTTAGGGGTTCGAAGCTCGGACATGTCAGGAAGCTCAACGGTTTATTATCGGAAAGGCCAACAAGTTTGAGAACAGCGCGGGGCTGTGAGAGAAACCCATTGCACTGCCAAGTTTACACAATTCAAATATGAGGGCCAAACACCGGCTCATCCAACACACCCTTCCGACGAAAGCATGGCTGTTGCTTGCAGCCAGCTTCATGCAGCCTGGTTAACTGTGACCAAATAATCAGGAGGATGGGGCGCGGGGCGTCCCCAAAAGTGAAGATATCCTTGATGGGACACCCCGCCTTTGAAAATCGCTAAGCCGCCAAGCGCATATCGATTTTCTGGGTGTGGCTCAAACCCTGCAGCCGACGAAAAAGAAAACCCGGCGGTCCCAGAAACTGTGAGCCACACCCAAAGAAATGTGTCTGCTAAAAAAAGAAGAAGCTTCGGCTTCAGGAAGCGGGTGGCTTTTTCGCCTAGAGCTGACCGCTCTCTCTGGGCGATGCCCAGTGAAAGTGCAAAGTCATTCGGCGTAACAGTTGCCTGCATAGGCGTAAGGCGCTGCTGGGGCTGAAAGCAGGCGCTTGTACTTGTCATTTCGGTAAGTGCTTCGCAAGATAATATATATATATATATATCCGTGTACTAATGATAATTGACAAAAAACACAGAAATATACATAACTTACTGTATGATGAATAATTAAAGAAAAACACACATGCGTATGTGAATGTTACTTGTATGTATATATATATATATATCCACTCTTGGCCTTTTTTCCAGGGAAGGAAGTAACAACATGTGTCTCACAATTGGTGGTTTCCTCGAATTTAGCGTCCCTTTCAAACAACCCCAAAATGCTTGGGACCCTATTGCCATAGATTTACACACCTGCCTGCTGGCGGATACAATGTAAGCCCCGAAATGATGCAAAAACCCTGCCAGCCAAGAAGCCAAGAGCTTTTCAGATATGCCAACTCCACTTGTAATAGGAGGGTCCTCAAAAACGGCCAGCCAGTCGGTTGCCAGACCTGTGCACACTCCTGGACCTCACTTGCCAGATTGCTAGGAGAGTGGAGGGTGGTCCATGAAAGCAGAATGAAGTTCCATAGGGTGCTCCTCATGCAGTTCTGCTTCGGTGGCAATGGGTGTGTCTTTGTTTAGGGGACCCCGAAATGGTGGTTTTCCATGACATGTTCCTTTCTGGGTTTCCGTTTCAAGCCACAAAAAGGGGGCGCCTTCAAGGAAAGACACGCCCAAATATCAAAAGAAACGCAATGGCCTGCGCGCAAAGCTGGAACATTCAGGTATAACTCTTCAGGCAACTGTTTCTCACAACGCCAGTGGAGGGATTCCACCTGGATATTGCAAGTCACAAACCATAACCCCCAACAGGGAGTAGGCTTTCCTTGGTTCATTCTTCGGCGAATCCCCTCCTTTTGATTCGAAAAGGGGGTCGACCTAATCCAGCGGAGACGCAGCCGCAGCTGTCCCAGCTGCAGCTGTCGCTTCCAAGGCTCTCGAGACTCGCATGACTTGCGCTGGCTCTGGTGCTCGGTGGAAGTCAAGGCTGGCAACGAGTATGTCACCTCAGACTCGCCGCAAACAGAGATCCTTACATTTTACACCTGAACATTGCCTGGTAAATAGTGGTTTCCCTTTATTTTGGTGGAAAAAGCCATGTTTCAAATGGGCAAAATGTATTTTTTGAGGAGCCTGGCAAGCTTTGCGGGCATGGGCCCAACCGCCCCTCTGCAACGTGGCTCAACCTGATTTAGGAAGACTTCTCTTGTGGAGCTGAAGGCACATTAAAAAGCAGCAGCTGATTTCAGTAAACACTCCACAGGAGGCTTGACAGTGGTGACTACGTGTTGCTTGCACGTGTTGCCCCTAAACAGTTTGAGATGCTACAAAAAACGGTGGCCATGTACGAAAAACACAGTGGGGGCACTGCCCTGACATGTTAAAAAAATGATGGGCCAAACGGGGGCGCGTCCAAGTGGCACAGCTGGCGTGGGGATATTCGAGTGCACCAGAACTTCACACCGTTCCAGTCCTCGTCGTGCGAAGGAGTCAAGGGAATTTGGGTGTCGCCAGGTGCGGACTCCCCGTTACATAGGCGGCCTCTTTTCGGGAGGAACGAGATGCAAACCAAACAGCGTAGCCTCACGTGTAAGTCGCGTGCAATACAGTACAAAGGACCAGGAACAAAAAAACGTACAGTTTTTTGGGACCGTGACGAAACGTGGACCCAAAGCAAAACCAACGGAAATCAACGGGCAAACAAACCACTATATGAACCATCATTCCTTGGGAGAAGCCGCGGAATCATGCAGGCTGCAGGGACAGTTTCGATCGGACGTCAGTTTTGCTCGTGGTCAAAAGGCGAAAGAACCAAGTGACGGACCGCACTGTCGCTGTCTTAGCCCCCCATGAGAAGGATCCAAATGGTCCAACTTGAAACAAGGACGCCCAAGGACCCTCCCTTCCTCAGCTGCCGTTGTAACGCGCACATAACGTTCCTCTGGCTCTGTGAACCCTTGCCACTGGGCGACCACCCTTCCCCAAGCAACCCATGGCAATCTCTCCTGCTCCGGCAGTAGGGCCAAACCCTGGCAGTAAGGCTTCAAGATGTCATCCACATGTTCCAGGAAGAGCCCCCAGGTGTCGTCCGGGCGGGCGCCCCACACCGGCCGTTTCTTCCAAAGAGTGTACCTGGGAGGCGGGAAGGACCACCCCAGAGCTTATGTGAGTGTGTCTGTGTCAAAGGGACCTCCCAAAATGGCTTCGCTTTTCCTTGCAACCAACCAAGCTTTGCTCGGTGCGGAAAAAGAAGACCAATTTACGTTGGACAAAAAATCGCGAAAAAAATGCAAGTCAATTAGGGAATTTAGATGCACTCACCAAAACATCAAGTAAAAGTGAAGATAAAAGGCCATCAGGCACGCGATGCAGGATGCAATGCAGCGCACGCTCTTTTTATTTGAGCCAAAAGTAATGCCAAAATCGTGTTGCTTGAAAGGCATGTAACAACAAATTTAGGAAACCGCATTGTGAAGAGGAATTTACATGAAGGGCTGTAGTGCAAAACCCATGCAATTCAACTCCCCCTCTAGCTTTACATAATGCGGAGGTAGACCGGGCAAGTCCTGTAGACAATGACTACCTAATCCGAATTAATGAGATGATGAATTCATGATGAAGTGCATCAGTGATTCAATCACTGGTGCTGCGCACGGCTTGGGCGACAATCCTTTCCAAGTGGAAAGCCTCGACAACATTGAAGTCATGAAGTCCAAAGGTCGCACCTTGAGGAGCCGGAGCTATCAACCCAAGGTACTATTACTTATTTCCCATACCTATGCCAAAGCGAAAGGCAAGACAGGCATGCAAGGAACAGGCGCAGAAGCAGCCAAAGTTCCCATGCGTTAGGAAACGGTTGTTCCTATGCTTCACAGTTGTTGCGAAACACATACTAATTATGAGCCAAAGCATTGGAAGAGAGACGAGGCAGCGCTGGCGCGACTAGAGCTCGATCAATCCCGGCATCAGCAATGATTGCTTGCATATCACTCCTATATCCTTAGACGCAAATGCACATGAGAAGTACGGGGCAGCGCCGAAGCAGCTAGAACCCACACATGCAAATGGGCAGAAGTCTGGACAATGCAAGTGATGGATTCGGTGAGCCCGAGCTCAAAGAGGTCGCATGTGGATCATCTCCAAGGCTGGTCTCCATTTCTGCGGACCGAGGCCTTTCGACAGGATACTCAGTCTGAAACTGAGAGTCACGAAACATGTCAAGAGACGGCAAGGTGACGTCCCGTGGGACGCTGTACACCGAACCCTCCAGCTGTAATACCAACCACGTAGAAAGGTGTATACGGTCAAAGCCGTTATAGCCGAACCCGTGTAAACGTTGTAAGGGAGAAGGAATAATAGTTACAACAGTGGTTCTGACAAATGCAGCGCAAGCGAAGTGTTTTCCGCTCTCAATTGCCGATCACGTATGAACGCAGCTACACATAAGATCTTGAACCTCAATTGTGTCTTGAGCCAAATGGCAATCAATGGAACCTGGTAAGCAACACAAACACGGACCTCAGAACTGCTTCCCAATTTAGGCACGGGGCCAGGAGGGTTTTAACATCCCCCATTTGGGTCGCATCGTTCATCATGCGGTCCAAACACCACAAAACGTTCCACTGGCCACGGCTTCAGCTACGAAACTGTGTCGTGCACTCTTTCACTCGCTATCGCTACACCGTTCATTCATTGTGAAACCTGCCGGGTTCGATTGAAAATGAAACATGCATCCGCAAATCGTAGCACATTCCCACATGCAGGTGTAATGTATACACTATCGTCACGTCATTTAACAACCATTGAACATCCCAGCTGCCGCATTTGCGCATCGCGCAGCCGTCATCCACAGAAATGGGTTGGCCATAGAAGTTCAACAGAAGCGCCTGCTCGTAAGCAATCTGCATATCACCGGCAAAGAAATATCGGCGAGCAATCAATGCAAAACATAGCCATTCCAGGTACCATGAATAATATACATAATGAAAAGGAAATCATCCATGAGGTAATAGTTCCATCCATGAATATCCGGAATGTCATAGTCGTCGGAATATGTAAATGTATACACATCCATTCATCTTTGGACGCATGAAATCATATCATGATGTAAAATCGTTCCATCGCAATGACGTCGATGAGACGCAAGCAACAGATGGGGACTAGCCCACATCGTGCCGCAATCAACATCTGCATCACGCATACCTGTCTCCAATGGACAGTCTGTGGGTACGTCGATGGAACTCTTCGTCCAAATTCTTTTGGGCTTCTCGCGCCCGGACACATTTCTTGTTATGATCTTCTGGTATCCAATGCCCCTTTCGGAGGCACCAATCCAGCAGAGGTGTGTCGCATTTATTCGGGTCGATGGCTGCAATAATGGCGCTCACATTGACCGAATAACCATATTTGCCAAGGTTCAGGCCATCCCTCACGAACGATATATACTTACAGTTGAAAGCCAGTGAAAAGCACCTGTAAATAATATCACCCACCGGGTGCACGCGGTCCTTGACCAGGAGCTTCATTTCGTCCTTGGTGACGTCGAGGATTCTTGCTGCAATCCACAGCTTGTAGAATATGTATAGTCCCTCGCACTTGCACACCATCATACGAATGTATTCTTCACGCTCCTCAGCCGACCGGAAGACCCTTGTCCGAACATTCTCGGATTGAGAAATCTTCAGTACCGTTGATGGTAAAAGGATTCCTTCCTGATCGTGCTCAGTCATGTTGGGGTACTTCTTGAAGTCGTTGTGGTAAGGGCAGCCTGGCTTCCCTTCGAGCGCGGCATTCATCGTTCTCTCCTCACCACCTTCGAACATCCCCCACATCTTTGACATCTGCAGTGCGATGAATCCCGCCATGTATTGAGCTTCGCGCGGCTCATCAAGGCAAATCGCCATCCGCTGGGTATTTATGATATCCCGTGATGCCAAGTCATTGTCGCGGTATTGCCAACCGCCATCTTCCTCCTCAGACATGTAGCCGGATGTATACCCTTGCGTGTCCATGTCGTCTTCTTCAGGAACCTCCTCCGCCTCATCATCATCTTCCTGTGCTGCCGCATCAAGGTTGGCTTCATCTTGTGCGCGCCTGGCATCACCCGAGACGTTGGGCCTTTGGTTGTCCTCATCGTCGTCGGAACTGATGTGGATGTAGAATCTCCCGGTGGAGATCAGTTGCGCTCCACATTCCAGGCACAAGCAGCAGCATGTGGGAATCGCGGTCGCACATGACGGACATATCCGGCACCTCAGTCCTTCCCATGTCTCGTCATTCAGGATGACGACTTTGCTGACCTCGTCCCTGACCTCGTTGGTCTGCGCATCGAACTCCTCCATCTTGTTGTCCCGATAAAGTTCGCATGCACGATCAACCATGTCTTTGATGTAGTTGCAGATTGTCGGCACCTGCCTCGGTCTCAGGCATCCTCTCGTTGATCTTCGCGACGTTCTGGAGGAACATCGCAGCCGACTCTTGGGATGAGTTGACGAAACCAGGACAGATCTCGTTCTCCACACATTTTGAGTACGCTCGCTTGGTGTCCCCGTGCTCCAGGCGTTTCCCTCCGTTGCTTTTGCCAATCCAAATGGACTTGACCTCATAGAACGGGATCACGTCGAAGACCATGAATGTCCCATTTGCCGCGACTCCAGCTCCATACCGCGCGAGGGTTGCACTGGGAATGTAGATGATCGCAATCGGATCCCCCGTCCTTACGTTTCGTAGCGTCACCTTCGTCGCTACGTTCATCTCATCCCATGGAGCAAATGCACCGAAGTGCAGTGCTAGCCTGTTTCCGCCATCGATCCCGCCGGGGACTAGCCCACAGCGTACGATGCTTGGCAGGTTCTCCACATACGTCACATGGAATGCCCCTCCGAGAGAGTCACCCATTCTTGCGGAATACCTATTTGCCAGTGCGGATGAGCTCATGAATCCAAAATCACTGTGACCAGTTGTGACTCGGATGCACCAAGGCCTGTACCATCCATCGCATCTGTTGAACATCCTGTCGATGTCATCCCGATCCAGGCCAGCATTGTTCATCTCTTCCCTGGCCGCCCTCGTGTCATTCGGGTTCATGATGCTTGGAAACCTTGCTGCCAGGACCTGAAATCTCGATTTCTTATGCCCAGATTCCTGCCACTTGATCACCTCCATGATGCCCATGTATCGTTTTGCTCTCGAGGTTGTAGGTGGGAATATGTCGTTGTTCCGGTCGTCAATGACTGCGTCAATGTCGACCCATCCACCTTCATCGCATCTGAAAACACTTCCTCGGCAATTGCCGATTTTGTGCCGAAGGACTCTGCATAGGTTGTGAGATAGCTGGTTTGCTTGATCTTTCGTAGCAAATACCGAGCGATCATCGCCAATCTTGCATAGTGGAGCACCGTCAAAAGGAGCAACGCAGAAATTGACGCTCTTGCCAAGCTGCATCACATCCACCTGCTCAAGGTTGGCACCCTTGGGGAAATACCTGGGGTCAACAATAGACGCATACGCCCATGGCATATGCACGTCACTCACGTCGCCATACTTCGGGATGTAGCATGGGATGGTGTCACATCCTCGCTCTAGCGTCGTCTTGAACGTTCTGTTGTCCCCGCACGGATTGTTGGTGAGGTCCACGCCACCGCATTGTAGCTCTCCTCCCTCAGCCGTGTCAGCCATCTCCACCAGGTTGATGGTATAGCTATACAGTTCAATTGTTTCTTTCCCTGCTTGTCCTCCTTTCTTGCGTTCCTTGGACGTTGATGAGGACGGCTCTTCCGTATCCCCCATTTCTTCATCCGAGGAAACGTGATCGCTGCTGAGAAGTTCACGGATCTTCTTCATCGCCTTCTCATTCCCAGCAGCCTCCTCATAGTTCTTGCAGTCGCCGTCGTGGGCCAGGTTCGCGCATCTCATGCAGATTCCCATCTCTCCCATGCACTTTTCCATTGAGTCTAGGAATCCGAGTGCCGCTCTCCGCCCATCAATCACTCGCTGCTTCTTTTCTTCTTTCTCAGCGTTGGGCTGAGAGCTTCGGCTCGGGTCTGGTACTTGACCAAGACCGTCACCTTCGCCCTCTGTTGCCTTCCTCTTGGACCCTTGGGCGGCAGGCTCGGTCATCAGGGATCGCGGAT